AATAATAATAATAAATAATAAATAATAATAATTATTATTATTATAATATTATAAACATAGTGTACACAATGGGGGGAATTTATCAAAACTGAAACAGACAGAATCTGGAGCAGTTGCACATGGCAACCAATCAGCTTCTTTCTTTCATTTTCAAAGCTTAACTGAACTGAAGAGCAAAGCTGATTATTACTACAGGCAACTGCCCCAGATTCTGTCTGCTCCAGTTTTAATAAATTCCACCCAGTGCACCTTGGGACATGCTGGTTTATGGGTGTTGCTCATGTCTATTCTCCTTCAGTTGATGCATCAATTTAAAGCTGAACTCCAGGCACAAATGCTTTCATTTAGATATATTCCTCAATAGCAACAAAAGGTTATAAATCCACTTTGTGAGCACCAAATACCTTTGCAAAGCCAAACAATACCTTGTCAAAGTAGCAGTGACACCATCACTATGCTGTGCATTGCCTGTGCAGAGAGCAGAGCTGTGGGAGGGGCCAGCAGGCCCCACCCACTACAGGCTACCTGCAGAAGACTACAGGAGGGGCAGAGACAAGACTAGTCACCGTGCACAAGAAGAGAGAGCAGCAGTGACTGGTCTTTATTACAGGAAGCTCTTGCACAGTGTCACACTGGATTACTGCACAGATCTGGAAGTAATACACAACACACACCAAAATCCAACTGTATTTAGATGATATTTGCTCATCCCGGAGTTCCAGCTCCATGCCTTGAAAAGTGCTACACAGTAGGAGGACTCTGTCACCTGCAAACACACAGCCATGAATGAGAACTGAACAGGAAAACCTCATAGGTTTCTATGGAACTCTAGTGAGCCAGCAATAAGCAGGAGCACACAATCAGAGCCACTTACCCAAAAGATGACATTGAACGCGAATATAAAATACTTGATGCAGCAGCTGACCTCAGGCCCCTTGTAGTGCTTCCCGGACATGGTGCCGGTACATGAAGGCAGATCCCCGAGCTGTGTGCGGGGGAGGTCAGGACTCAGAGCCCGGGAGGGAGCCAGGTGGAAGCAGTGGTGCCAGGCCTATAGCCCAGAAACAGCCAATCAACGTCTGTGCCGAGGGCTGCGAATGCTCCGTGCTTAGGAACAAGCCTGCCTGCTGCCCATAGATGCCCAGTGTAGAGCTCAGGGGAAGCCCTGCTGCCGATCTGTGGATCTGCTGTTGAGTGATGCGTGCTTGTTGTATCAGTGAAAGATGCACGGTGTACGGCTGTTTGTCGCAGATACCCAGACACTGTGTGACAGCCTAATCCATCCCTCCTGGCCGGGTGATGTAGCCGCTCCGGACTGATAACAGCAAACAGCAGGAGCCGGCTTCCTTCACTGGACCCCTCCTCCAAGTCAGAGCTGTCAGGGATTATGCCCCGCCTCCTCCCGCCCGGCCCCGCCTCGTCACCTCCCGCCCGCCCCCTCCTCCTTCTCCTCACGGAGCACGGATGGCCGGGCTGCGCTCTCAGGTCACCTCGGGTGCTGTGTACAGGTCAGAGCAAAGAGAACCTGTCATAAACTATATATCTAACCTGAAACCTTTTCTCCCCTTTGGATAGAGGAATGAAGGGGGGAAACCACTGTCCTTTTTTGTGCCATCTGTGTCTATTGAGGGAGCTTTCCCTTCAAATCTTGTGCTGTACATTGTCACATTGCAAAGGTGTGAACCCTGGCTTAAAGAATAACTTCAGGAAATTGTTTTATTAACCCTCGCCGCCACACTGCAAGGGTTAAGTGCTAGTTTGTGTCTAGGTAAAAAAAACAAAAAACGTTATACTCACCTGAAGCCCTGAACCGGTGTTCTATCAAAGTTTGTGACTACGTTAGAATGTGTGACCGGTCACGTGGTCACACATTTTACCGCAATCGGAGCTTCGGGTGATGATAACTTTGTTATTTTTGTCCCTGGACACAAACAAGCACTTAACCCTTTTAGTGCAGGGGTAGCCCCACCACAAGGGTTAATAAAAAGTTTTCCTGGAGATCTTCTTTAACCACTTGAAGACCCCCTCCCTGTCCAGGCCATTTGTCAGTATTCAGCGCTGTGGTACTTTGACATTTATTCTGTCATGCAGCCCCCTATGTGATAGCCAATATACAATGACCAAGACCCCTGTCACCAAGGGACCCCCAGAGAAGCTGCTGAAGCAGAGATCAGCTTCTTCTGTAGCCAGGAATGAAAACTAAATGCGAAAGTGATGTAATATACATCACTTTCTGCATTCTGACACCGGAAAGGAGATCGCATACTGACCTCCCTCTAATCTCTGGTGACAGAGCCGCCGTGCCGATCCTGGCCAGCAGCGGGCACAGCGGATCTCGGGACTGGCGGTGGGGTGCACACCCGCCCAAAATATAAGTGATCACAACACTTATAGTTAAACATCCATCACTAGCCGTTTACATTTTAGGTGCCCAACCGCATCTACAAGGTTCCTGTCTGGCCGTTTAGGTACGGCCGCTGGATGGGAGGTGGTGAAAGTGCATTTCCACTTTTGCAGCCACATCGGGATAACGCCCACTTTATGTTTGTCACGTTTCCATTCATTTAGCAACGTTTACAAAATTGAAGACTTGCTGCTTACATTCTACTTGCTTAAACTCCAGGCTAAAATGTTCTTAACCCTTTCAGTTGGGCTACCCCAGCACTGCAAGGGTTAACTGCTCGTTTTTGCCTGGTTGCTAAATAAAAAAGTTATGCTCACCTGATCCTCTGGCTGCTACTCTGGTTCCTTATCTAGAGGCAGAGCCAGCTGTACCCGCCCCCTCCCCGTCCGTTCCGCCAGTTAGCGCTGGAGGATCGGAGCCGGGAGGGGGGAATCCAGCCCCTCCCCTGTCATCTGGAGACACAGAGCCGGGAGGGGGGAATCCAGCCCCTCCCCTGTCATGGCTCTCTGCCGTGGCAGGATCGAGAAGTGAGCGAACGCCGATATGTGTTCGCTCACTTCTCGATCTTCTGAGCCGACCTGTGAGAGTCTCATTGTCAAAGGTCGGCTAGAACTATGAGGTGAGTGAAAAGCACTCACCTCATAGTTCTCCTTTAAGCAGTGCTGATTTGCAATATAATGTATTTGTAGTCGGGGCGGACTGACCATATGGGCAGGCGGCCCCTTGGCGGCATCCCGCCCCCTGTTCCCCTTCCAGCCCGCATGGAAGGAGACGTGGCTGTGACAAAGCGGCGACGGCAGTGTCGCCCGCCTCCCAGGCCCACCAGACACTGCTGTTGCTGCTTTAACACAGCCGCGTCTCCTAGTTTGACGGCTGAGAAGAGCCCAGAGGTAGGGGGTGTGTCATGCTGGATGGAGGGTGGACCTACCACTGGCTGCATGAGAGCCTGAGGCTGTTCGGCCGACCCGAAGCCACTCGAAGCAAGCCGATGTACGGCTGATTTCAGCCGATGTACGGCTGAAATTAGCCGTACCAGTCTGAAGTGAATAGCCAAACAGCATTCGGCTCACTTCACTTCAGATCGGTCATTCACTCGGATGCCCTCGCAGCTTGGTGAATAGACCCCTATATGTGAAACAACTGCATGATTCTGCTCGTTATTATATAGCCACGAACGCACGGAATTTGCTGGATTAATGCACTTTTTTTTCTGCGTAGTGTGGCTCCCCACATATTTGTACAGCTGACTATTCACGGACAGCCGCCTGTGCATAGTCACAGCTCCATTCATACTGGAGCGTCTGTCTGCGCGTATTCCGCTGTATGAATATGCGCGGAGCCAAACTAAACAGAAAAAACAATGCACTTTAATGTGCATTGTTCAGACTATTGCGGGCGGCTTGTGGGTGGGGGCTTGTATATAGGCGGAGCACAAGGGGGCCCCATAATCTTGTATTGCATGTGTTGTCAGTCTGCCCCTGCCTTAGACCGATGTGGAGGGGGAGAGAGGCTCCAAGGACCTGTCTAAGAGCAAGCTAGCTCTAAGGCCCCATTCACACTTAGCGGCATACCTTTTGCAGCGGATCCGCATGGCCGGGATAGCGCGACTTTCGGGGCGACGTTCCAGCGACGATCCAGCGATGGTAGCGCGTCCTTCTCCGTCGGGCTCCATTAGAAAAAAGCAAAATCCGCCGAAAAAAGGGTCCTGTAGAAGCGACGAGCGACGCGCGACATGGAGCTAAGACAGCTCCATTGAATAGCATTAGCCGGCGACTTCTCACGATATCGCGCGGCAAAAATGCGCGATAAATCACTTAGTGTGAATGGGGCCTAAAGGATCGGGTCAGTATAACTTTTTTTTTTTTTAGCAACTACACACAAATGAGCAATTAACCATTGCAGTGCGTGGGTAGCCCCACTGAAAGGGTTAAGAACATTTTTGCCCAGAGTTATGCTTTAAAAATCCTACCTAGCTCCCCCCCCCCCTATGTAATGTTAATGAGGTGGCTGTGGGAAATTATGTTTACCTAATTAACCCCGTGTATACTGTGCTGGCAGATTTTCATCAAGCCCATGAAAGATATAGGAACCTCTCAGGTAGTGTAACCCTTTTGCTGCCACAGATGTAAGTACTGTGTCCCTGATAGCAGGGAGCTGTAACCACACTCCTGGCTGATATAGTAGCTGATGATTGCTTCATCACCCCCCACACATTGCATCCCCACCTGACCCCCCTGCCATGTAGCCCAGTTTTTGCTGCCCCTCCTCCTGGACTCTACTGCTTCGAGCCTGATTCGTTGATGACCCGTCTGCTGAATAAACACGGAAGCGACGAGGATTTTATCACTTTGGGGTTCTGAGCTTTCATTTCCCATCAGAAAATTGGGCTGCAAAGTTGACATTAGGGGTCTAAAATGTGCTACAGCACATTTTTAGCCAGACATACAGTGGGTATAGAAAAGGATCCCCCCTTTTGAAATAATCACATTGTGTTGCTTTGCAACCAAAAATGAAGACAGACACAGTTTTCGTTTTATCCAGCCGTATTTACCCAGTGCAACCTATAACATCCAAGTGAAAGATATAACACCAGCATGTCAGAAAAAAAAAAAAAAATAATTCAAACACAGAATCACTGAGTTGGAAAAAGGATCACCCTCTGGTGTCAGTATTTTGTTGAACCACCTTTTGCTTTAATTACAGTCTTTAATCTGTTGGGATATGTCTCTACTAACTTTGCACATCTAGACTTTGCAATATTTGCCCTCTCTTCTTTGCAGAACTGCTCAAGTTCAGTTAAATTGGATGGTGACTGTTTGTGGACTGCTGTCTTCAAGTCATTCCACAGATTTTCAATGGGAAAACACAAAAACGAGGGGTACCTTCCCCAGTGTAGATCATTTTTTATTAAACAAATGGCAAAAGTAGAATAATACTCACAAAAGAGTAGATCACAATGAGCCTTCAAAATCAAAGGTTGATCCTCAGTCTTAGCAAAAAGCAAGACTGTCACATACCTGGTTGGAGACTGACTGTGTGAGGAGGCCTCCCTTGCACCTCGTGTCCGGAGGACTCTGAGGTTAGTGACAGAGCCCAAGTAGACAGCGAGTGGCACGGGTGCCTGTGGTGATAACACCGTGCAGGCTGAATTCCGGGTGCTGTAGCTGAGCAGGGCAAGATCCGAAATCCAGGTCAGTCGAGCCAAGGTCAAAACCAATCGGGCGGGAACGGTACAAAGGGGTGAGGCAGAGGCAAAGTCCAGTAAACAGATCCGAGGTCGAGGGCAGGCAGCAGGCAAGAAAGGTCAAGACAAATCTGGGTCACAGCAGATCAGGTAAAATAGATTCAGGAATACAGGAGACAAAAGGGAGCTGAAGACAATCCAGCAATATGGAGGTGTTCAGGTTCAGCTTGTATAGAGAAAGTGATTAAGGAGCTGTGTCACTTCCTGTGCGCCGTTTGTCGCGCTTTTGCACGGCTGGTCCTTGGCACGAAAAGAAATAGACACCGATTACGTCTATTTATTGATGTACATCAAAAGCAAAATAACACACTTAGTGCAACGTTTCGGGGACACACAGGAACCCCTTCATCAGGCAAAACAAGTGGTCTTTGGCACGCGCGCATGCGTGGAAGAGCGCGCCTCTCCGTGGGACAGGAAAGTGTGCTTGGCGCATGCACGGTAATGGGGTGTCTCTTACAAAGACACAGCATGTGAGAGCTGCACAGATGGTGGTTCCTGTGTGACAGCACAGTATGCCTAGGTTGACACATTTCCAGGGCCATGTCCCCTTCC